GGGGGAAAGTGCAGGAGATCTTATACGAAGTACGAGTTAGTTTACATTTTGGGAATGACCACTGCATTTCATCTAAATGATTTAGTTTCGGCCCGAACATGCAGTGATGCATCAGCAATCGCTCTCGAGGTTCACTGCCAAAGCCCAGCAGGCAGAGCTGCATCATCTTTGTAAAAGAGGCACATCGGGACTTGCACAAGCCGGGGTGCTCTGCTCGGAAGCCGCAAGAAGGCTGCCTGGAAGTGGTAAAGGTTTCACGAGTACCCTCCCACAGCAGCTGCGAGAACCCGCGACCCTTGGCAAGGAGCCGGATGCAGCTCCAGGGACGGTGCAGGGAAACCGCACCGCCCGCCCCGCCGCGCTCCCGAGCGCCTCCGCGGCGCCCCCGGCCCCCGCACAGCCCGCACCTGCTCGTCCTCGAAGATGATGTTGGCGGGGATCTCCTTGCGGATGATCTTCCCGAAGATGGTGTCCCCGCCGGGCCGCGCCGCCTGCGCCTTGCTGATCTCGTCAGCCATGGCGGCGGCTCCCGCCGGCGCTCAGCCCCGCCTTCCCCCGCGGCCACGCCCCCCGGCGCTCATTGGGCCAGCGCCGGCGGCTGGCCGTGCCCGCCCGTCTGATTGGCGGTTTCGCCTGTCATTGTCCCGCTGGTCCCGCCCACCGCGCTGGCGCGCCCTCGCTGACCCGGGAACCGCGGAGGGATCCATGGGGAGGAGCCATGGCCGGCTGCGCGCAGGGATCAAGGAAAGGTGATCTGCAGTGGCAGCGTAGTCCCGGGAGAGGCTGTTGTGGGCAGAATTACTGCTTATCAAATCCAAATGAAATATCTGTGTGATTTCTTGGGACGAGCTCCTGCAGACTGCACCAGGCTGGGCTGCGTTAGCTTTTCCACCAGAGTTTGCAGGTGTTTGGTGCCCCTGGAATCGCGGTCCTGCAGAGGGGCAGTTTGACCTGCCAGCCCTTCTGCACATAAGTGATTTCGTAAGCATTAAACAAACCAATCAATATGGCCAAGCAATAATTCACAGAGGGCAGCACGAAGTTACACGGCTATACATCTAGTTGTAAATGCTTTTTTAATATATCTATGACATCAGTCATTAAATAGAAGAAATTAAAAAGCAGGGGTTAAAAACCAACACAAAGCTTTAAGAGTAACAAGGAAGCTTCATTTTCATGCAGTTTAACAAGGCCAAGTACGAGGTCCTGCACCGGGGTCACCCCTGCTGTCAGCGCAGGCTGGGAGATTGAGAACAGACCTTGGGAGGCTTTGGAGATGTTCATGGGTGGGAGGCTGGACATGACCCAGCCATGGGCACTCCCAGCCCAGAAAGCCAAACGTGTCCTGGGCTGCATCCAGAGCAGCGTGGGCAGCAGGGGAGGGAGGGGATTCTGCCCCTCTGCTCTGCTCTGCTGAGAGCCCACCTGGAACCCTGCATCAGCCCTGGGGTCCCAGCACAGGGAGGACATGGAACTGCTGGAGTGAGTCCAGAGGAGGCCACAAAAATGATCAGAGTGACAGAGCACCTTTTCTATGAGAACAGTTGAGAGAATTGGAATTGCTCACCCTTGAAAAGATTTCAGGATGACCTAATTGCAGCTTTGCAGTACCTGAAGCACCCTACAAGAAAAATGGAGGAAGGTTTTTTTACAAGGGTATGTAGTGACAGAACATGGAGGAATGGCTTGAAACTGCAAGATTGGAGGTTTAAATTGGATGTGAGAAAGAAATTATTTACTGTGAGCATGGTGAAACACTGAACAGGCTGCCCAGAGAAGTTGTGGGTGCTCAGTCCCTGGAATTGTTCAAGGCCAGGCAGGATGGAGTTCTGAGCAACCTGGTCTAGTGAAAGGTGTCCCTGCCCATCATAGGGGCATTGGAACTAGATAACCTTTAATGTCCTTTCCAACCCAGACCATTCCAGATTCTATGATTTTCTAAGCTTTACAAATAAAATACATTGATTTTCCTGAGGATTTATCTAGGAGGATATTAATAGAGACATTTTTATATATTTGTCTCTAGACTAAAATGTTACAGGAAAGCATTTTGGAGAGAGTCAGGAAACCAGTACTGCTAGAGTGCATTAACCTAATATGGTTTCCTCAGCTGATTACCTGAACATGTTAGAAAAAGAGCAGAATTTGTCATATGTTTCTGTAACTCTGAAATAGTTTATCATTAAATACCCTGAAAAAAAAACCTCTGGTAAAGCACATTAGACAATGAATTTTTATTCTCTTCCTTAATGATGTTCTGGATTAAGATATTTTGACATGTATATGTCCTATAGATGATAGTGGAGCTTTATAACAATTAAAAGAAGTACTTCAGGGACAAATTTCTTTGAATTATATTGTTGTCTAACCAAGGTTATCCAGCAAATATATTATTAATTTGGGCAAACGCTGCTGTGGAGTTAGTTAGAAAGTATATTTCCATGTTAAGAGAAGACATAAAGAGACAAGTTTAGAAGTTTCTCTAAAAAGCAAAAACATCTTTTTTCATATAGTTAACTTCAGCATATATTTTTGTCTCACCATGTAAACAGCAACTTTTATATTATTTTGAATAAAACAATTTATTAATTAGATCCTCTTTTCAAAGGGTCTCATTCATTCACATCTGCAATAATTATTTGTGCAACTAAATTATAAATAAGCATCACTTCTGCTAACAGATCAAATTTCTTTAGGAGTTACATAGTAAAAATAAGTATTTAATAGATGCTTACAAGTAAGTATTAATAATAAAAATATTTAAATTATTGAGTAAAAGTTTAGTGTTCTCATAGTTCAATTAGCTTACAATGTAATTGCAGTTAAACAATTAAATGGGCTGTATTGAAGCTAGAGGTGTAGTGACCAGTAAAGCTGCTTACACAGAAAATCCTTATGCTGCCTTTAGCTAATGCTGAACGATGTGTTAGTGAACTAGAAGCTTGTTTGGTTTTCAAGAGAATGGCAATTCAGGTTTATAGATGTGGCCATGATGTGGCCAGGCCAAGGCTGGGTTGGTCAGGGTGTGAGTAAGGCAAGCCAGGGCTGTGGGGAACTTGGTGTGAGCAGCCAAGAAAGTGACCTGACTAGAGAGGAGAAATGACTGAACAAAAAAAAAAAAAAAAAAAAAAAAAAAAAAAAAAAAAAAAAAAAAAAAAAAAAAAAAAAAAAAAAAAAAAAAAAAAAAAAAGCCTGTTGGATAACACCAGCAGAAAAAAAGCCTGCCAGCTTGGCAGCTGTGATCTTGGGAACTAAAAATGTCCTTGAAAAGCGCAGCCTTTTCTAAGTGCAGTTTAATACCTAGAGACTGGAGAGGTCCTGAGATACTACTGATAAGCACAGAAACAAGGAATTGTAACCACAACTTTTCTTCTGAAGTGGTGAAAAAATAGTCTGGGAAAGAAGGTGGCATCCCAGATAAGGAAGGATTCCAAACTGCCGTTGGCTGATCTAACTGCAAGAGCAAGGAAACAGTCTGGCAAAATAAAAACTGATTTGAAGAAGCAGCAAATATCATCATTTATTGGCCATTCTAGATATCTCACAGAAACTGATGTGTGAAAAATTCATATTTTATGATTGGCTTTTTGCAAATGTTACAATGAATATTATATGTTTAATGTTAGAAAGTTATGCTGTGTTAATTCTCTAAAGTAGTGTGTTAAATGTAGTTTTAGATTACATCATACTGTTAAAATAGAAATTCTGTGATATAGAATTTGTTACAAGCTCAAGCAGGAAGATGAGATAATCAAGAAACTCTTCACACAGAGATGGCAGTGAAGGGGGCCCATGAAAAGTTACTGCCTTCTTATCAGAAAAGACAAACATTCTTCCACCTACTCTCCAACTTTTTGGAACCACCAAGATTAAGGAGAAGAAGTTGACAAAAACCAGAAAAGTTCTTAATTTGCAAGGAATTGATGTATCATGTATGAGATATATGCATATGCAACAGGCTATTGCTTTTAAGGCTATTCCTTTGTTCACAAGTCATGCTTTTCGTGACTTAGTGTCTGAGAACACCCGGACATCCCTAATTCTTTGCTTTTCATTGTCTTGTAATTGTCCTAACTCTAAATTTTATTACGCTAATTGTATTATTATTTTATAATCATTTTATTATTATTAAACTTTTAGAAATTTTAAAAACCAAGTGATTGGCACTTTTCACTACAGCCAAGAAGGCCAATGGGGTCCTGGGATGCATTAGGAGGATCACTGCCAGCAGGATAAGGGAGGTGATCCTGACCCTCTGCTCAGCCCTGGTGAGGCACATCTGGAGTTCTGTGTCCAGTTCTGGGCTCCTCAGGACAAGGAGAGACATGGAGCTCCTGGAGCAGATCCAGTGGAGGCAGCGGAGATGGGACTGGAGCATCTCTCTTTCGAGGAGAGGTTGTGGGAGCTGGGCCTCTAAAGAATAGTTAAAGCCACGTGTGGAAAATGGGACAAAATGCAAAATACGTTAATCTGTTAGTGGGCTATGTTAGAGTAAATGACCCTTTATTTATCGCCTTTGGGGAACCTCATCACTCTATCTTCAGAAATCTGAAGGAAAGGCGTCAGAGGAGGGATCCAGGCTCTTCTCAGTGATGCCCAGCAACAGGACGAGGGGCAGTGGGCAGAAAGCGATGCACAGGAAGTTTCTGTGAACACGAGGAAGAAATTTTGAACTTGTTCACTGTGCGGGCGAGCGGGCACAGCAGCAGATTGTCCAGGAAAGTGGCGAAGTCTTCCCCAGTGGGGATGGAACCGCCTGGATACAGTCGTGTGCCATGTGCTTTGGCTTTGGGCAGGGACGCTGGACCCGATGCGCCACTGTGGTCCGTTCCAGGCAGAGCTGGAATTCCGTGCCGTGAGCCCGTGAAAGCCGCGCCAGCCCCGCGGCGGCGGGGCGGCGGAACTCAGGCTGCCCGGAACGGCGGCGGCGGGCGGCCCCCGGGGGGGGACAGCATTGGAGGCGGCACCGGCGGCAGCGCGGGAGGGTGCGGCTCGTCCCTGAGGGGCACTTCCGGTGCGACACTTCCGGCGGCGGGAGCCATGGGGAGCCGCGGGCAGGCGAGTGACACTCACACATAAACACACATAAACACATATAGACACACACATAAACACATACACACACTCATACACACGTATTCTGTGCTGGGGGGGGGTCGCAGCTTTGTAGCTTTTGTAGAGCCACAAGACACAGACTTTCAGGATAAGAAGGATAAAAAACTAGGTAAAAGAAAGTAGCGGTTTGCACGCAAAGGCCGTTGCGGGAAAAGCAAGCGAGAAGATGCGATAGGCAGATTAAAATGCATCAAGAGCACGTCTCGTGAGGGTAAGATAGGGAAGAACAAGGAGCTAAGAATTAATAAGGCCTTTCATTGCTAGGGTGTAATTTCCCTGGTTTTGGTGTACAGTCAGCAGGTGTTGGTGGGGCCCTCTGTGAAAGCAAGTGGCTGTACAGGTCAGAGGTGTCTGCATTAATGCGTCTTGATCAAAACCATCTCATACAGCTTTTCACCACTGTGGCCGGTGTGGTGAAAAGTTTCCTGAGCTCTGCCAGGCTGTGGCCACTTCCCTGGTCACCCTCAGGGTGAAGAACCTTCCCCTGAGTGGCATCAGTGTCCCCTGACACAACTTCAGGCCATTTGCTTGGATCCTGTCACTGCATACCAGAGGTAAAATTGGTGCTTGCTCCTCCTCCTCCCCTTGTGAGGAAGCTGTAGGCTGCTGTAAGGGTAGGAGGATGCCTGGAAATGGCTCATCAGATTGTTCAAAATAGCAATAAAAAAACTTAAAGTTTTAACATACATGTGTGTTTAACATAAAACCACTTGTAATATTACTTGGCTATTTACAAAGATGCCAAATACACTGTGGGGCAGCAAAATTTTAGGATATTAAAATACCTGTAAAACCTTTGTTGTGTTTTAATTCTGTGAGTTTACTTTCCACAGGTTCATCCATCTAGGGAATGGTGCAGTTAAAGCAACATGGCTCTGTTCATTTGCTGGGTTACAGCCCTGTGTTTCCTCTATGTCCTTCTGAAAAATATTTGGAATACTAATTGTGAGAGAACAATTTGAGATTATTATGAAGTGCCTAGAATTGTGCCCTCTAGAGATGCCAAAATGGTAGGAAGTACTGGAAGGAGCTTCAAAAGGCATGTTGTTATCAAGATTATGTTTCTCTGGTGTTTGTCAGAGACTTTTCAGTCTGGCAAACACCAAAAAGGTCTCATAAGGGTTTGAGCATTTCTGTGATTCATTGCAGTCTGTATGAATGATCAAAACCACAAGACTGTGAGCTGTGATTCTCCGGGGGTTTGCTTTTCATACGTGTTCAGGGGTGTCTTCTGTACACTGTAAATCCTAACTTTGGGTGTTTGCTTTTACTGAAGTGTTCATTTCCTGACCTGGCAGTTGCATTTAAGAAAAGGACTTTGCATTGGTTCTGCTGCACCACTTGCAGAAGATTTTTATGTGAGCATACTTCAGTTGTTTCTTTTTCTGTCTTCTTTCAATAGCTAGAGAATATGCACTGTTGTAACCTTGATAATTCCTTCAGGTAACTTGGCTTTTAGAGTTATTCCAGTTCTTCTGGGTGTATTTGACATTGGCACAATAAATAATGCTCGTGTCCATGTAATTTCAGGATTGTATTCCCATCCTGCCAAATAATTACTTAGGATTGTGGTGCCAGCATCTTAGGGCAATTTGAAATACCTAGACCTGTCTAAGATTTTGATGACATCACATCTGCTTTGGCTGCAAGTGTTTCAATGAGAAATTTAGGTAAAGCCTCTTAGATATTGATTCTGTATCAAATTCTGTACTGAATGGAAGTAGCAAGAAATTTCAACCGAAACATTTTCATTTTAACTAACACTCCTGCTAGCAAATAAGTTAATTATATTGATGTTGTATTGGCAGGTTTTGAAGCTTTTTAAGTTGTTACACAGAACACGGCAAGAAGTTTTTAAAAATGATAACAAAGCCCTCGAAGGTGAGATACTTGTTTTGTGGGGTGTGTGCATACCTATATTTTGTGGAACTTTCTTCTTGGAGTACAGAGAAGGATAATTCTTAACATAATCTTTCTTCAAGTTACTCCCATAATTTTCAAGTAATAATTAGGAAAACTTGTGTGTCCCTAACCAGATATTCTTTAATTTGAAACAGAAAAATGGTTCTTAAATTCAAGCACCCACATATTTTGGAAGAGTAACATATCTTTTTCAAATGTTCCTGATCTTCCTGGGAGATAGATGTCTTTTGTGTTTTTAACTTCTCTTCAGTCCAGCCACAGCATGGTTAGCTGTACTAATTAATTCTCTATGTATGGTTTTTCCTCACGGAATGAATCCTGCTTTTTTTAGACCTTGTGTATGCAGTACAGAATGCTAAATTTGGAATCTTATTTCATTTGTATATCAGTCAACTTAAAATGTGACATCATGTGAATTACATGGAGATCTTACATTGAAATACTTTGATCAGAGTGCCCCAGGAATGTGCCATAAAGAGCTTAAGATTCTTAACTTTGGGGCAGTGACAAATTCAAAATAAAATTTTTGTTCATACTTTGGTTTTTTGTTTACTTTATTTAGCAGCAAGACAAAAGATAAATGAAGAATTCAGAAATAACCGAGACGAGGCATCTGAAGAGAAGATTAATGAGGTATTTTATTGCTTTCTCTTGCTTGTAAGAATATTTAGAAATTTGTTTTTTACTTAAAGGATCTCTAAACCACTGTACACACATTGAGACATCATAAAAGCTGGATTGGTTTAGAAAGACTTCTACATGGATCTTTGTTCATAAACATATAATGTATTAATACTGTCTTTACAATGGTATTGATACTGTCTTACAGAATTTTGTACATACAAAAATACATAAGTAGAAAGTGTGTTCTGATAGTTCAGTGTGATTTTTTTGAAGTTTATAATAAAATTATATGAGAAAATATTTAAAGTTGCAGTTGTTATGTAAATATTCTATGCTTTGCTCATACTACCTATCTGCAGTGTGGTCACTTAAATTTACCTGCTCACTGTTGTTTAGGTAAACAGAAACAAACAGAGAAATTACTCTGCTCAGTTACTAACAGATCACAAATGACTCAGCATCTTTGTGGAAGGCAAAAAACAGCAACATTATTAGGATTAATTGTAGTATAGTATAGCTGTAGTATATATTAATTATAATACAGGGATTTTTTGCTTCTTCTTTCCTCATCATGCATTAAAAGTAAAGCATTCTGTTAATTCACTAAGTTCATTACCTTTGCATAATTGTTGCCTCAACACTTCTTGCTGAGTAATTTTTTTCTAAAAGTTACTGTAAACTGAAACAGAACTTCTGTATTTAGATAATTTTAGTTATTAACATCGCTACAGAGTGATCAATTTAGTCCTTGTCATCAGTCTTTTATCAGAGTGTATTTACATTGTCACTGGGCACTGGTTGGAAGAAAGTGCCTATGTCTGTCCCTTGAAGAAATAAAATTAAAACATTTCCTGATATCAGCCACTGAACAGTAATGTAAATAATTCTGACAATTTAGTTGGGAGTTCCTAATTTCAGCTTGTTATCAGTCTCCTGTAATAATACTCATTGCTTGTGTTACCACTGTCTGATCAGCTAAATTATGAGTTCAGGGTTGTTTTTTTAATAGATGTACAGGAAAAATATTTGATGCAATTCTGAAATCTCTATTTGTTTTCTAGGCAACCTGCAAATTTCACATATGTGACTTTTTAATATGGATTAGTTGATATTTGATTAACTGTGTTGGTGAAAGGAATACTAGACTTCCATTCCAGCTACACACTCCTAGGACATCACAGATGTTTATTACATGTACACACTGATTGGACTTGGTTGCAGAGGAACTGAATGAAGTTTTATATACGACTTGAGGAAGTTTGAGCACTTGCTTGCATTAATGTGGTGCTGTTAGTGTTCTGCTTTGGACAGCAACTAAAAATGGAGTATTGACCAGCCAGAATAGAAAACTACGAGTGCATTCTAACATGACAACAAGTACTTGTATCTGTATGTACTTGTACATGTCAAGCTTGGTGACATAAGGAGATCAGGTATGAGAATGAGAAATATGATAGCTGAATCTAATGCACCTGTGATTTGTCTTGCTATGTAAAATGTCAGAAAAACAAGCAGAATTCCCTTAAGGTCCTGAAGAGGAAGCTGTGCTTCAGGAGCATGCAGCCTGGGTGCCTTCAGCAGGAGGAACTGGAGGGTACCTGCTCGAAGCTCTTAAAAGGGAGGAGCATGAGAAGTGCAGTGTAGATGGCAAGCACTGAGCTCTAGACTTTGCAAAGATCCACTTCTGTTGATATGTGCCACTTCCTAGTGTGAGCGTGTCTCCTGAAACATCTCACTTGAGCAATTCTATTTATTTCTGATACAGGAATCATGCAAACAAGTATTAGACTTCTCTTAATGGCTTAGCAAAGCTAGCAAGGGTGCTGCAGCTTATCCTCTTAGTGAGAGAAGGAATTCCAGGCCTTTTGCCAAATACTAATACTTTGGGTAGTCTGTAGGTAGTGCCTTGTTTTTCTGCACAGTTCTACTGTGAAACCTCAGTATTCTTAATTCTTGTCTTATTTTGCCCTTGTTTTTGTCTCCTTATTTCAGGAGCAGTAGTGTTGAAAGAATGAGATTGCAATTTCACTATGAGAAGTCAAAGGTTATTGGGGTGTGAGTGGGTGTCTTTGATCATCGAAAACTAGTTAATTAGTTTTATAGTTGCATTTCAACTTACTCATTTGCAGTTTTAATTTGGTACATAGATGTATGTACTCGTGTATGTTACTGAGCCAGTGTTTCCCTCACTATGTGCTCCATGTCAAGGTCACTTACATGTCAATCTGTAAGTTATTCCACGATCCCCAAGGCAAAAGCAATGCATACATACTACATAAGTAACTGAGTAGTATAACAGAATGACTTTATTATTTGAATAGTTGTCTAGTATGGAAAATAGCTTCAGAAATAGTCACATGGAATTTAAATTACTCTTGTTTCTCTCTTCTTACTCTTTTACTAGCTTCTTAAAATAGCTTCAGATGTTGAAGTGATTCTCAGAACTTCTGTTATTCAGGCGGTTCACACAGATTCTGACAAAATAGGTGAGTAAGCCTGCATGCTAGAAAGATACTTATATTTATGTTACAGTTTAGTAAATAAATATAGAATGTGAAATAAGGAAAGAAATAGTGAGGCAAATAGCCTGTCTGTTATTCTCTGGTAAAATTCGTAATGTAAGCTATTCATTAATGTTACTGCCTAGGATGGATGGAGGTTTCAAAGGCACAAAGTTTCCATACAAATGTTTTGAAGTATGGAGGCTAGTAGAAAAGAGGTAGTGACTACTTTGAATGCCTTTAACTAGCTATAATTATTAGGAAGGTCAGCAATTAGATAGCTGGTCAGCACGTACAGGCTAGTCAGTCAGTATGTCTAAAGGCAGTAGCCACTGTACCTATCTGTAGGTGCTTGCTCTACCAAATTGGGAGCAGCTGCCTGAGGAGTATTAGCAAGTGCAGTATGTACACTGACTATAAAACAGCTTTTTCTTTGAGGCTTGAGTGTTCATTTCAAAAATTTTTTCCAACAATTTCAGTTTCACAGGTTATGCTGTGTAAGATTTGTGACACAGTGATTACCTCAATGCAAAGTCTATCCTATTCTGAAATCCTGGTTCCTGGTTTAGAAGTTCTTTTATCTTGCAGCCAAAAAGAGAAGTAGTAGGTAGGCTCAGCGTACAACTGTATGGTAAGAGAATACAGGAAATCTTCATCTATGTTTTACTTCGATTGTAATACTATGTATTACTTTGATTGTTTCCTTTTACTTCCGTTTAGTATTGGCTGTAAAGTTGTGTACCAATTTTCAGTTTTAGGTTTGGTAAAACATTTAACTTTAAAACAGCAGTTATGATCAAAGCCAAAGATAAGTCTGGACCAGTGTCAGATCTTCCACAGTGATTCCAGGCAGATAACAGTTGAAGAATAAGAACAAAGTGAATCTGCACCTCTTTCAGCTGTTCACACCTGGCAGCACTTCTGAGTCAGGGATTTTTTCCGGTTTAATTATCTTCAATGGACTTCTCTTCATTTACTTTTCATTTTCACCAAGCTGTTAATGAGTTTTTAAGTTCTTTATTGCTTCCTTTTTGTTCACTTCCCCATGAAACAGCTCTCAGAAACAACAGGTGAATGCCTATGATTATTCTTGCACTGCACACTGTGGGCAAGGAGGCATTTTACACACAGTGATGGCACAATAATGTTTTCTCTTTCATTTTCAACTGGATTTGTCACTGTTAATTCTAAGTTTAATTTTTGGCTGCCAAGCATACATGTTATGTATTTATTCTTACAAAATTGTACTCATTAAACTCATAAGAGTGGTCATAATCGGTTTTGAACTTAATACTTACTTTGTGAGGTTAGTATTTTTCTTGACTTGTGTGCATCGCATGTCTCCAGGTATAATTTTGTCCGTCAGTTTACTCAGTCAGGTCTTAATAGGGTCTTGTTATTTTTCACAGTAAGACATTTTCTTAATGAAATTCTTCAGGATGGTATAATGAAAGACCTTTTCTTCACAGGGTACTTACAAATATGTTGAACATGTCAGCAAAAATACCTGTAGAACACATTTGACATCACTCCAGTGGATGACCTGATCATTTATTGTTCACATCTTACAGTTTAACCAGTGACTTATCTCTGCAAGACTTCTGTCATAATAAGGCTGTTTTATTCAGACATGTTGTGGTAACCTCTGAAGCACCATTCAGAGAACTCCAGCAGAGACTGTAAGGCAGAGCTGCCTTTGCAAAAGCCAAGTGGAATCATGTTCAAATACTGGCTTGATCCTTTGCAAGTATGTAGGAATGGGGTTAGGACAGCCAGGTGTATCAGCAACAGGAGGAGGAGGAGAGAAAACCTGAGCCTGCAGCTGAATAGGACAGGGGACTCAGTAATGAAGGACACAAAATACAGTGACAGTGACAGTGGCAGTAACTTTCACTAGGTGATTTCTTTTCCTCTTGGCCTTTAAAATAGGTGTGACAAGATAAATATTACAGATTAGAGTCCATGACTTGGGTGAGAGAGCTAAGTTAAATCCAATGTTCATTTTTGAAACTTCTGAAGCATAATATGACTCAGGCTTGAAAAAAATCATTCACCCTCCTGCTAAAAGTTACTGCAAAACTTTATGGCTTCTTAATAGCAAAATTTTCAATGCTTATAAAATGAGACAGGAAAACATTATTATAGCCAGCTGAAAGTAAAATCCTAGTATGATTTTGTCTTAGATCTATGATGCTACTTACCACAAGTTCAGATCCTCATTTTAATAACCAGATATTTTGTTTGTAAATGTAAAAACACCTTTAGAATTTGAAATAGTATTTTCCATAAGATTATATTCTTACTTTTTCTTTTTTTTTTTGTTTTTTTTTCTTTTCTATTTCAGTACTTGTACCCAGGAAAGATCTGCTACAGGACAACGTTCCTTACTTAGATAAACCAACAAAAAAGCAAGAATCCTGAGTAAATACTGCTACCACGAAAAAAGAGACTGAAATCAATTCACTGATTTTATTGAGTGCTGGAGTATCATCATGCACTTATTCAGTGGAAGATAGTTAATACTTTCACACTTACTTAAAAGTGTGAAAAAGTACACTTACTTAAAAGTACACTTACTAATTGTGTTACTTCAGCCAGGAATTTTTCTGATTATGACAGCTCTCAGACAGAGATTGTTTCCTAACAATGTCGAGTTTTTCAGAACTAAAAATTATAAAAATTAGAGTCCTTAATACTGATAATATTTATTGTCAATCATAAGCTTTTTTGAAGTAATGAAAAACCATCTTGTGGCATTTAATGTTGAATTTATGCTTTGCACCAAAAGCATGATTTCTGAAGTTGTCATTAATTGTACACTAGTATGCTGTGATGCTTGAGAGAGTTCTTAAAGGTTTATCTGAATAAATTATTTGTGTTTTACAGATGGGAGAGCATGTCTAGTGTTTTCTTCTCCTACACACTCTGGAATGAGCAGGAATAGTAGGGTTTGAGTTCTCAGATGACAGCACAAGAGAACACAGACACAACATAACCTAAGCATGTTGGTTTAGATCATATGGTTTATGAATTTGTGGTTTGTGTTTTAACTTGCAATCATTGAGTGACTGAGACATTTTCCAAAGAAAACTAAACTTGCTGTTTAGTTGCAAGTGAACTTGCCTAGAGTGAATATATGAAAAGTGTGATTAGTAAGGCCTAGTAATTTGCATGTTTTTAAAGGATACTTCCTTGGTTCTTGTGGAGTTCATTGCAAAGATCTGTTCACTTCCATTTTAATTTGAAGGAGGTACAACTGCAGTGATACATATATTTCTTCATGAAACTGGTAGCAGGCACCACCCTAGGATCTAAGTAACTCACCGAGTATTCAAGGATGAGGCAGTCCAGCAATGTGTCACCTCATGAATCCTGCTGTATCTGTTATCTCAAGTCTCCACGATGTCAGAATTGCCTGTGTGTGTACTTGGCTTGACTGGCTGAATAAACCAGAAAACTAGTGCCTTCATCCAGTCTCTTTCTCACAAAACATGTCAGTGTGACAAGTACTCCTTTCTTTAAAACTTGCCACTGGCTGCAATGGCCAGGGCAGCCAGCAGCAAATAGAGCTGTCAGTAACCCTCTTTGAATTGCACTCATACTCCCTGCACTGTAGCTAAAAGGCACCAGGCACACGATGGGAGAGAGAATTAAATTACTCAGTTCTTGCCATTTATTGTATTCTAGTGGCTCCACTGCAAAACAAATGTCTCTGTTTGTAGGCAATGTCCTGTTCTAGGCCCCTGGTATTTTTTACTTTCCTAAGGACTAGCTATATTCTATGTCTGGCTTCCCATCCTTCTGCAGCCTGCCTGTATTGACCTTTTTTTCCCTCCATAAGGGGCATAAGAAAGTCATATGCCAGAGAGAGAAAATACAAGGTAGTGGCAACTGTAAAAAGAAAGCAGAGCATTGCCGCAGGTGAAATGACTAACTTTTAAGCAGAAGTAATTAAACAGGGGTCTGGCAAAACTGCGAAATTATATAACCATTAAGGTGTACATCCCATGGCATGTTGGAATTGGGGGGAATTCACCTCTCATAGCTACTGCCTTAGGCTCTGGGTGTAGCTTTAGAGATTTTATCCTTCAGATTTAAAGGAATGTGCCCCCTGTTGACAGAGTAAACAAGTCACCCTTTGTCTCCTTAAAAAGGACAAAAGTCCAGAGGTTTCTCTTCTCGATTTAGTTAAGACACCTCATAGGACCTTAGAGACTTCAACTCAAACTTAAGGATAGCTAATTGGACAGGAGCCAAAAAGTCCTGCCTAAGCAATTCCCTCAAAAAAGAAGACAACAAAAGAAGATAATCGCTTTTGTGAAGTGTTTTAGCAGGAACAAGAAACTCTTGCCCCACCTTGGTTTTTCTCTGTAGAGCTTTTTTACTTTGCCTTTTATTAAAACCTTTTTGTTTCCAACACTGTCACAGGAGCTATCCTATTACTTTTATGCCACTTGAGGTAGCTAAGCTATCAAGGGTATGATGTTTGTCTATGAGAACTTATAAGACCTGCCTCGAATAGATAAAACACAGATTGATTTTTTTAGACTGATGCCTGGTAAGTTTTCACTACTGATGTAAGACAGTATTGCCCATTACCATGCAAAATAGGTACTATGACTTCAGTGATGTCAGTGGTAGATGGTGGTCTTCTATATGCTCTTTGAGGAAGCCACAAGTGGAGAAATTTGTCATGGGACTACTGCTTTGGTATCCTTCTGCTGTCATGTGTTCCAGGGTTTTATTTTTTAGTAAGAATACATCATAAGAAATACAGTAGGGAAGTGTCAACTTACAGGATCAGGCTTGCAATTCAATGGGCATTTGTGTACTTCATCTTACATATATCTTGAATACTTATAATAAAAGTACAGAATGAGTCACTTGAATAACATACACAACTGGTGAAAATAAAGTACCTTGTAAAAATAGTTGGTACAGTTTGTTGGTCTTCAGAATGATTGTTCTTACACTCCTGTGCAGTATCTTTATGGTATGTGCATTAATATTTCATGTGCATTAATATTCCTTGTGCATTCCTGGCAGTAAAGACAAACCAAACTGCAGTGATGAGATTATGAAAATCAAGATGATACAAAAAAGGCTATTGACATAAGAGACTGACAGGCCTATTCCTTGCTCTTATTCAATGTGATCTTAAGTAGGAATCCAGGGGGTATCTAGGCCAGGGTAAATGGGAATCCAAATATGTTACTGAGCCTAAAAGTATCTCAGACTTGGTTGCTGTCTGGGCCCACTAAGTGTTCGCTTTCTTCAAATTTAACTTTTCAGTCTGAAAGAATCTCACAAACCTGCTTAATGAGCAGCTGCTTATTAAGATAATCAAAGGCTTCTTTGTGCTAGTTGGTCATAGTGACTATTCCTCTTCCCCTTACTTCATGGTTACCAGGTTTGCATTCCAGAATCCAGCCATCACCCCAGTTTCCATTTCCCATTTTAATTTCACTCTGGGTATGAATTTGTTCTTGATATTGCTAGGATTGTGCTCATACTTTTTTTTTTTAATTAATACAAATTATCAAAATTAAAAAGGAACTGTTGCAATCTCTCTTTGCAAAGGTTGAAGTCAACTGAAACTTTTCAAATCATTACAGGAGTTTTCACTTAATGGCTTGGGAAGGGAAAAGGGTTCTCTGTTTACAACAGAAACTGTAGTTGGATAGGCTCACAATAACACAATTCAATCACATTTAAGTTTTTTAGGTTTACTGGAACAGCAGAATTTTTAAAGCAAATGCATGTGCCTTTCCTTCTAGAGTATATATCATCAATCATAAAAGATACGCCTTAAATGGTTCTTTAAACTAGTTTTATTAGGTCTGTATTAAAAAAAACAAAACAAAACAAAACAGAGGTCTTCTGCAGGCAGACAGGAGGTGCTCTTGGAAAAGCCTTGGTGCTTGTTCAGCTCTGCTACAGCCCGGCTGCCACAGCCAGGGCTGGTCAGTGTGGTCTGACCAGCACACATTGCTGTGCAGGGGTGTGTCCATGACCAGTGCAGAGACACCAGCAGTGATGCTCAGCAAGACCTGGGGTTGTACAGGCGAGTTTCAGGTCTGCTCAAGGTACTCGCGTGTGTGCAGAGTTTGGCAGAACAGATGCCACCTCAGTGATTCCAAGCAGCACAATTCTTTTGTGCTTCAGCTTTTGTCTTTGTCTACCAGAAATGCAGCTGTTAGAGCCTTCTCCCTTTGTATTATTCTCTTTCATGAAGTGCTGACTTCATATACACTGTTGCTTTATTGAGAGCATGAAGTACATCCAAAGAGTATTTCTGGTTTAAATACTAAGTTCTGGTTTTGTGCGAACCACCTTTCCTTCTAACCACCTATTTACAAACAAAATAAAAGGTTTCTCCAGTTGTTTTTTACTGCAAGATTAGGCTAGGGATCAATCATGCTGTTAATATGCTTTGTATAGCCTGATGTTCATAAAATACAGGTGATAGATTTAATCTATGAATTGATTTGATTTGTGTGGGTAGGATTTGTGTTGAACTCTTAAGGGTTTCAGGTGAAACAAGGTATTTGTTCTAATGTAGCAGGGGAAAATTAATCCCCTTCTCTATTCCTGTGCATCTTGGTAAAGGAAGCATTTAGTTGCTAATTTTACAGGGAGTGCTTTTAAATCACAAACTGATTTTACAAAGATTTGATCTGGAAGTAGTATTAAAAGTTTAATATGGAAAGGTGGCTTGTACCTTCTCTAAGGAGCTGAATTCTCAGTTTTTCAGGTAACATGAGATCAGCAAACCTGTGGGAACTTCAGTGACATAATCATTTAGTCTTTTTCTTAGAGATCCTGCCAGCTGAAGGAGCAGAAGTAGTCTGAATGCTGCATTATTAGCCCTGTTTGTATCACACTGGACTTGTAAATACAGCTTCAAGTACCAGCAGTTCTTTAAACTTCCTCTACAAAAGGAAAAGACATGTTGACAATTGAAAACTAAAAATAAAGACTGACCAGCTTACAGGAAGAGCTGAGACCTAATACTTCCCAGCTTCAGAAAACTGTTTTAAAACTACTTGCAAAATCCAACCCTTAAGTTTGAAGTTTGGTAGGCTGTTAAATCTTTGGTCTTTAGTTTTATGGGAAGATAATTATTTAAAACAAAGCAAAAGTAGGAACACAATTGAATATTAAGGTTGGTGTTTGGTATTAAGGATATTGAGGTGCTGGAGTGTTTCCAGTGCAGGGCAACAAGGCTTGTGAAGGGTCCAGGAAACTTGCCTTATGAGGAGTTGCTGAGGTAGCTGGGTTTGTTTAGTCATGAGGAGGCCCAGGGGAGACCTCATTGCTCTCCACAACTCCCTGAAAGGAGGCTGTAGTGAGGTGGGGGTTGGTCTGTTCTACTGTGTCTGCAGTGAGAGAATCAGAGGAAATGGCTTTCAGCTGAGGCAGGGAATCAGATTAGATATTAGAAAACAAAAATTTCACTGTTAGGGCATGTCAGGCATTGGAATAGGTTGCCCTGGGAGGTGGTGGAGTCACCATCTCTGGAGGTGTTTAGGAGGCATCTGGATTTGGTGCTGGATAATGTTGATTAGTGCTTTAGGGGTTATGGTGGTAGTGCTGGGTTGATGGTTGGACTTGGCAATCCTGGAGGTCTCTTCCAACCTTGATGATTACATGATTTTACAGTTATTACAGGTTTGATATTTTAATAGTTAAAATCCAGTCATCTTTGAGGACAAAGTATATTTAGCTTCTTTGAGGGTAAATCTGTGGCATAGATATCCAAATACCTAATTCTGTTGAGAGACTTCACTAGTGAAGCATGTGTGTCATGATTTTTTTTTCTGCCAGCAAGAAAAAGTCTACCAAGCAGAAAACAGAGGAAGGTTATGTCTTTACACTTTGAAAAATAGCAG